AACATCTGAAATTATACAATAGGTCCATGGTAGGAAGGTCATCAAGCCATCTACACTGGCAGAATGCCACCGCCCTACTCTCAACTTAGTGGTACTGTGCACACTCCGGAGGACAGGTGTCCATGATCCACCACCCCAGCAGCTAGGACTCCAACACTCCACTAGAAGAAGGAGGGAAAGAATGCAGTGGATAGTCCATAAAATCACAGCACCGAAGAAAGTGCAATGGGTAACTGTGATACCCTATATTGAAAAACAAAGCGATTACAATGATGGAGTGCATCTTGCTACACCTGGCAGAATCTGGAATTGTACATCAGGTCCGTCGTAGGACGAGCATCAAATGCCGTGGATCATCAGAAACGGGCAACAATCCCAGTCTGCTTTGCTCATGTTAGTCCATTTAGTCCATGAGTGTACGGTCCAGGACAAACATATTTATGAAGCAAAAGACCACAAGGTACACCTACGAGCAGTCCTGCAGAACACCCCCCTCCCCCCATTTCAACAGTAGGCATAATATGACCTGGATATGTTACGAAATTGTATTTTGAAAGCAGAGGCGGAGTAGATCAACCAACACCTGGTGGTATCTGGAATTGTACACCAGGTTTATGGTAGGAAGAGCCTCAATGTCACAGTCATCTAACCTGGTATATCATCACAGGTCATACAGTGCAGATTTAAGATTAAGTATACTCGCATCGCAACAGAGTACGATTCAAACTTGCAATAAAGAACGAAATACTTATCACCCACAGCAAAAAAAGGAGGCAAGAAACAGCAAGGCATCTATATAATGTTGCAAACAAAAGCCTGTGGTATGAATCAGGACCACTCGACAAGATACAAAAGTCCAAATGGAAGTGCTCGAAACTAAAACACACACCGTGATGAACAAAGCAATCTTTATCATCCACAAACCTGGAGTGAGACAATGTGGGAGATGGATGAAAGTAGAGGACCAGAGTTACTGAAACAATTTTCAGAACCCATGGATCAACTACCAAGAAACTTCAAATGTGAGCAAATTGAAGACGTCTGGCCCCCACTGGCCCTGACCCAAGAAGAGTGGTCAGAGTAAGATAAATACAGAAAAAGGTAATTGAAGTATCGAGGTACGATCCCACAAAGGGAGAAGTGACACCAAATACTGTGACTCCAAATAAGGAAAGTTAGAATGATGATAAGCAAAAAAAGTATCATCCATAGTACATGGGGGTCGAAGCATACTGACCCCCAAATGCAAATGCTCCCCCAAAATGACTCTCATGAACCTCAGTATACTGGGAATGAGGAAACACTAAATAATGATGCAAAAGCACATCTCCAAGAAGGGCATGGGTGGAACACAGCAATAGATAACAACAGAACACAGCATACCTGAATAATCAATTCCACAAAAATGGAAGGTAGTCTGGGCAATTCTCCCAGTATGACACGTGACAGCAAGGCATATTTACAAGGGGGAAAAAAAGGCTGTCCAAATCTGCTTCTTGCCGATCACTGAGCAGGTATGAGAGAATAATCAACAGTTAGTTCTGATTATAGCAGGAAAATATGGTAAACTCCTAACAAACCAGAGCCCTCACTTCCTGAGCCAAGAATCGTGATTTCAATCTGTTGGACGTGATAAATAATTCTGCTGCAGTTGACCACCTGGAAGTGCGAGTGCAAAACTCTCGAGAGTGAAAAAGTAAAGATGATAAAATAAGTCATAACTCTCCAAGAAAAAGAACGAAAATGGTAAATAACAATGAAACTGAAGCAGAAAAATTGAGTAAGTAAAAACTTGTGGATAAGTTAATCAAACCATGAGCAAAAACACTTCTGTTCAATAAGACTGAAAATCGAGAAATGGTTAACAGCTGCATGATTAGAGAGGGTGCTAATTATGACACGGGTAGTTTGCATGTTAGTATACAGAAATAAGTGGAAGTACTAAGCCTAGTGCTGACCAAAAATTTGTACCAATAGAGGGCAGTATATGTTGAGAAAGCCTTTTGTGAGAGGAGGTAAGATATGGTGTTGGGATATATATATATGTGTGTGTGTGTGTGTGTGTGCGTGGTACAAGACTTTACTATGCATTAGCTCACCTCTCTTATTTAACAGGTCAGTTCTCCCAATTTCTGCATTTTCTTACAGTTCAGTTCGGACACAGTCACTCATACAAGTCACTCAACTTTCCCCTTCTCATGTGTACGAGTCACAAATTCACTAATTTGCAATTACCCACATTTTCTTACAGAAAAGGGAGCTTTTGATGTTAAATGGATGGCTCTCTCTTCTGTTGTCGGTGTGGATAATGGCCAGACACTGTCAGAGCCTTGCACTCAGATCACAGTGAATGGAGGCGTCGTGTGCAAACGTCTTTGTTGATATTATTATTTTGTACATAAAGCCAGATTTACCCATAAGAGTACTTTAGGACAATAACTAATTTTTGTAACATCTACATTAGTGATTTTTAGCAAACCTTGCTTTAGTTAATCGTAGACTGATGTAGGCTTTAACTTTTGAGGAAGTTAGAGGTAGCTTTTTGCTTAATGCAGACTAAGCATTTGAGGTTTATTTTGTATTTTGCTTTTTTACATTTAACTTTATTTGTGGTTGAACTTGCAAAGAAGAGCACACTAGATTTATAACAGAAAGTACACATCTACGATAAACACTGGCACTTGTGTTTGCTTTGACTGTTTGTTTGTTAAATATTTTGGTTTGTACATTTGTGGACCATATCTTCCTTCACAATGGCCTCTTGTTATCTGAGCTGTACCCACCACAAACTCTAAATTTTATCCACACTCGAGCTTACTGCTTAGCTACCAGAAAAGCAATACTAACTATTGCAATTTAGGTGTTTACCCTAATTTTAAGCAAGTGCTTTCCTTAATTGCTTAGAATAAAGTGAAATTCCTTTGAAAACTAAAAGATTAAGCAATCACACAAAATGGCCACAAAATAGCATTCTTTATTTGTTTTGCTAGTTTGTTGAATTTCATGTTAGGCTACTCTTGGACTACTTGCAAATGTCATCCCTAATTCAGAAGTAATAAACTAGAGGGAAGGAAGCTAGTCAACTCCTCTCATTTTGGCAGTTATTGGGCTACTCTTTACAAACAAAAAGTGGCAATGACTGCCCAGTAATAATGCTATCTTGACTGAAAGGGTGAAAATGTTTAGGATCTGTGATTGGGGAGTCAAGTGCCCTAATCACCAAGCCATGCTCGGATTCCATATTTCATAACTGTTTGTTTTTTAATTTTGCGCAAAGCTACACGAGGGCTATCTGTGCCAGTCGTCCCTAATTTAGCAGTGTAAGACTAGAGGGAAGGCAGCTAGTCATCACCATCCACCGCCAACTCTTGGGCTACTCTTTTACCAACGAATAGTGGGATTGACCATCACATTATAATGCCCCCACGGCTGAAAGGGCGAGCATGTTTGATGGGACAGTGGATTCGAACCCTTGAACCTGAGATTGCGAGTCGAGCGCCCTTACCACCTAACCATGCCGGCCCGTTATTTCATAATAATAAAAAACATTGTAACTATTTTAAGAAACTGTTTTTAAAATTATTTGGTATCATTAATAAAAAATAATAGTAACTTTTCAAACTAAAAAATACAAATATAAGTACATGTAGTGCAGCTTAATAGTTCAAGCTTAAGCAATTATGATTATTGCTAGATTCAGAAAGTGTATGTTAACAATTACTTGTAAAAACAAAATCAAATAAAAACACAAAAAGTCTTGAAAATTTTACATACCGGTTCTCCAAGCCACCACTCAGGGTTTGAAGATTGTGAACTACCAAGTCTGAACAACTGATGCAAGTTAGGATCATAGAACTTGTTTCCTACAATTCCGTGAGACTCGGGGTAGAGACCCTGAAATGTACCATCCATCATTATAAGTTAGGATTTTGTGGCTCAAGCTGCTTTTTCTGTTCGATATACTCCATTCTATAAGACTCAAGGATTGTGTACTCATTTTTTTCATCTTATGCTTTTAACTTTAAGGACAACAAAATATTCATGATGTTAGAAAAACACGCAGGTTCAAGAAGTTTAGATAGAAATGAATAACATCCCTATAACCCGAGCGCTTTCAAAAGGCAGACCTTTCTTCTTCAGTTCATCTTTCGAAAGCGCTCGGGTTATAGGGTTTTTTATTCATTTCTAATTAAACATATTAATACTTATAAGATTGAAATACAGACAAGTGTAAATAAATCTGGCATATAAAGGCTAACGATACCTTCAAGTTCCTCTTGTTTTCATTAAGAATTTGTGTGCAATATACAATAAATATTCCTTCTAATTTTGCAGAATATAAACCACACTTGACTTCCATATTTCAAAAAATTAATTAAATCTAAAATGCTGATGAAAAATGTTGCGAACATAATTTATGCATATAATAATATAACATAATTTATGCATATAATAATATAACATAATTTATGCATATAATAATATAACATAATTTATGCATATAATAATATAACATAATTTATGCATATAATAATATAACATAATTTATGCATATAATAATATAACATAATTTATGCATATAATAATATAACATAATTTATGCAATTACTGCGTATAATATAGAACAATGTGGAGATGTTTCAGATGGGAAACCTCAGATTCAGATTTCAAATTACTGAAACCATACCTGATTCTATACATTTGTATACAGTCAATTGTTATATCAGAATTTGAAGCAACAATCTTTTCAGCTACTTTCCTCGGTTATTTTTGATTATATCTTAATGTTGCCATGACTATAATGGTACAAAACCGCATTAAAAAACTGATTTTTAGATACATTCCTAGTGGAATCACTACAAGTGTTGCAATCGTCTCGGTAGGAATTTTCCATTTGACATCTTCCTAAGATTGCAAAGACAACTGGAGATATTCAGAAACAATTTTGTGGTTTGTTTTAACACAAATGAGTAGTTTCTTTTACTGTGACGTTTTGATTTCTTCTATCGAAGGAGCTATCAGAGTTGCAGTGAAGAAGGAAACGACTGACGAGAAGAATGGAAAGAATGAAAAATGTGATGATGTTTTCAGTGTGTTAATGATGAAGTCACGTGGTATGGACGAGCAAGAAGTGGGCCAAGCACACAAGTTCTGGTTTATATAAAGATATTGGCTGAAATAAATCATTTCACCTGGTTATCTATGGTTAATACATATTAGATTTTCAGAATACTTTCTTAAAGAAGAGATTTTATAAATCTGATTGTTGTTGGAATTTAATGGAATTTTTATTTCCAGACTTTTGAAATTTTTTAACATTCTTTAAAATTCCTCGAGGGCTAACAGCCCTTTTCAGGGAGGGAGGAGAATCTTCCCTGTGGAATGTTGATGTGGGGGAAACCAGAGTGCTCAAGGAAAACACTTTTGCATGCCAGGAATACAAGTGTTCACCAGCTATACTTCTTAATGGGCTTCAACATGTGCTAGCTGTTCATTATCTATGATCCCACCCTCTATAACAATGACTTTAATGGCTTTAAATCTTATTAATTTCTGTAAAGGACGTGTTCTCTCCCTCATAAATATTCCTTAAGCTAGAGTAGCCCCCAGAACAGCTATCCTTAAGATTCCAATACACTTAGAAGTGCTCAAGCAATTTCAGGAGTTTTTTTCTTAGGCCCTCTGGTTGATGATGCCTTAACATTCAAAAAACTTTTCATAAAGTGCTGATTAGCAAGAAATGAGTGAAGTAGATCTGGTTATTTATTTCGACTTAATAAATTTAAGTTATTTCACCTGTAAAAAAATTTATTAACTTGGTTCATTTATTAGTTTGTCCCTATTAAAATAGTGTTCACACAGATATATGCAGGATATATAAGATTTTGGTGGCCATTTTGGATTTCTAACATTTGTCTCTAGGGGGACACAGTTTGAAATTTATCTAACTAGTTACCTGTTATGTTCAAACTGACTTGTAACTGATTAATTGATTTGACTTTGTCTACAAAGTTTAAGAACTGTAATGTCACATTGTGGAGATGACCCAGGTATCAGAATTAATTAAACCCCTATTTTCCTTTATTTTAAAGTTATGATTATTCATTTGTGCATTAATAGAATAGCTTATTAAATCAGTCCTCCATTTGAAAATAAAATATATTAACTAATTTCAATGAGTTGAAATATTAAGATTTTTTTTTAGAATCAGAGAGAAACTAAATCCTCAAGCATGTTCTGTATTTCCTCGTATGCTGTAAACCATCAAAAAATTCTGAAGTTCTGTATCTAGTATTTCCAAAGTGAAAGAACTTCTACAACAACCGAATGTTGACACATGCTGCAATATAAATAAAACCAAGTATAAGATAAAACAAGAAGCAATGGTTTCACATAGTAGTAAGGAAAATTTTGAACTGGCAACGGCCTCGAATTAAGCCGTAACTGGGTTATCCGAGTAACAATTTACCGATACTTGCCGCTATCCATGTCCTTATTCAGGAAACTCAAAAAGTCTTAAAAAAAAGCATCAACAAATTTTCCTTCTATGATGTTGCTAAATTACATAATTTAAACAACTTTAACAAAAAAAACATTGTTTTTAAATATATAGCTTTTTTTTACGACTTTAAGATCTAATGGTAATATTCTATTCACAAAAATAAATTAACAATAAGATTATGACATTAAACAGATTTTTCAAATGAGCTTCCAATCCTTAAAACACCTCTTCGACTTGAATTTTTTACTGTTCAACAGTAAATTTTACGGTTTTCTAAGAAATTAAAACCTCCACTTTTTCTTCTAATGTCACATGTTTATAAGCAAATACAAACAACAAACAAAGAAAACACCTGTTCTTACTACATTACAACAATAATTTTAAATAACGTGCATTATAAGTACTTCATTTATCAAAATAATTCATTCAAAGTTCTTAGCTTTATACTTTTGAAGTTATCATTAAATCACCTGGACATAAAACGTACTGTTACTATGCTGTAATGGTTGGGGAATGTCTTTGTTGGAAACACGGGACGCATGTACGGAGCCAAGATACCACATTCTGCCAAGTGATTGATATTGGGAGTAATATTACGTTTGAGGTAATCCGGTCGAAAGCCATCTAGAGATATCAATAACAGAGGAGCTTCCTGAAAACTAAGAAACAAAATAAATGTGAGAAGAGACAAACTGATCTTATTAATTGATATTAACGTTTTATATTATTTTTTCATAAAGAATCTATAAATTTCTTTAAAATGAACAAATCTTTTTTTTAAAGGGGATTGTACTTTAAAAATACAACAGCAAGTCTTGAAGTAAAATATGTGGCTCCAGTATAGACTTTGCCGTGAATATTTCTTTGTGAAAAACTGCAGAAAAATATGAAACAATAACAATTTTACTAAATATAACCCTTTTCATAAACATGACAATGTTCGAATGAAGACCGAGTGTAACACAAACTTAGCAATAATGATCTGATAAACAGATTATTAAGATAAACTCAAAGAAATAAAATGTACATCTATCTTTATAACTCTAGAAATAATTGGATATTTAGAAAATTTATATTTTGTGTTAGAAATTTTTTGTTTTGAAACACCAGGAAATATGAAAAAGCAGGACTGAAGCATTTGTCTTTTTTGAAGGTAATATCATAGCCTTGAAATGACAATATGCATGTAAATGTAACATTAAAAAAAACATTAAATTAAGTGATAAAAAAACAATGTTCACAGCCTTGAATAAACAACATGCATATAAAGGTAATATAAAAATGTTAACTGAGTTATAACGGAGGAAAATAGTACCAAAACCTGTAAATTTATTAATCATGTTTTAAACAACTACTTCAATTAAATTTCCTAGTGAAATGTAAAAACAAAAACGATATTATACAAAAATTCATAAACATAAGATGTAACATCAAAGAGAGTTGTATCGACTACTGTTTGCAGAAGACTGCAAAATGGATTTGGAGAATTTTAATTCAACAGAAGTGTTGTACGGAAAGAAATCAGCAAAGAAAAATGGAACAAGTGGGAGAAAAATATTTGGACACGAACTCAAGGAAAGTTGGAGAAATATAAATTAAAACTAGAAAAGCTCTTTAAAAACTCTTAACAAATCAGATAAACAGGTTGATGTACTTAAGAAGGGGATGGGATTTGCTTGTAAACCCAAAAATGTCTGGAAACAAAATTTTATTACAGAAGTGGAAACAGGTTTGAATAAAATAAAGAACATTAATAAAGTTGATATCATTAAAGCTGTATAGTAAGTAATAGTTAGTAAGTAATTTTAAAGTCAATTTGAAGTTATAAAGGCATTAAATGATTGGGATATTGTAACTTGTAAAGCTGAAAAAGGTGGTCAAGTAGTTATCCAAAATGAAGAGGATATGAAAAGGTTAAAGACAACCCTTTTAAGAGACTTCAAGAATTGATCAAAAAAAAACTTACAAACTGTATATGATTACCCCCCCCCCCCGAGAAAAAATATTTGGTTTCAAGAAGTTATGTAATTCAAAGATTTTATGCTTTACCAAAAGTTCACAAAATATGAGATTCCTATAGATGTATAGTATCAAACATAGGTTTATCCTTTTGTAATGTAGCTAAATTGTCAGTATGTAAATATTCTTCCCTTAATGATAAAAATACTTAAACCATTAAACATTCTATAGAATGTGTAGAAAAAATAAGAAAGGTAGATCGAAATAATGATGCTATACTTGTGATATTGTATCACTATCCATGAAAGTACCATCTTGTAATCCATGAAAGTACCATCTTGTGATATTGTATCACTATCCATGAAAGTACCATCTTGTAATCCATGAAAGTACCATCTTGTGATATTGTATCACAATCCATGAAAGTACCATCTTGTGATATTGTATCACTATCCATGAAAGTACCATCTTGTAATCCATGAAATTACCCATTGATAAAGTTATCAATTGTTTTGAAGACAAATTACCAGTGAACAAATGCCAGTCATTGAAATTTTAGACTCGATAAATTTAACAAAAACTTCTGTGGAAGATTCATTTTTTCAATTTAATAATAAGATCTATAAACAGACTGAAGGCTTAGCTATGGGTTCTCCATTGCTGTGTGATCTTTTCATGAATATATTTAAAACTGATGCTTTACAGAATGCTAAACGTAAACCAGAAATATAGGTTAGGTATGTAAATGACGCTTTTGTAGCATGGCAATACGGTAAAGAAAACTTGCTAGTTTTTGCTTAAATTACTTAAATAACCTTAAACCCGCTATTCAATTTACATATGAAGTTGAAGAAAATAACAGTTTACCGTTTTTGGACATAGTAGTTAAGAAAACTAAAAATAAGTTAAAACTATGGTCTTTTCCTGTTATCATGCCACCACACAAAGAATCAAAAAATGTTAGCTTTTTACTCTTATGTTTACATGTTTTTAAAGCTATGTTCTAATCCAGAAGATTTAAAAAACAAACTGTTAATTAACCAAACATGTAGCATTAGATAGAGATTTCTCACCTCATATTGTTGATACAGGTGTGAAAAAATGTAACAAAATGACAAATGATGATAAAAAAAAGTAAAATAAAATGAACATTTGATGAAATAGATAAAAAAAGAAATGTTGTTTTTACCATGTCCCAGGTTTGTCATGTCATATGTTTGGTAAATTTAAGAAACAAAACAAAAATATTATTCCCATTTACAGACCACTGAATAAAATATTAAACAAAACTAAAGATGAAATAAATTTGATTAATAAAATTGAATGTGACTGAGTACACATTGGTCAAACTGGAAGAAATTTAAAACTTAAAAGAAATGTTAAAACTGCACTAGTTGAGCATGCAAATTACACTGGGACAAAACTTATTTTGGTTAGAGAAACAAAATGAGTAATGAATGACAGAAAAATAATTTCAATTTAAATAAGGATGAAGGGTTAGAAAATCAGAAAGTGAGTAAATGGTAAATGAGTTATTTTTTGATCTTTTTAAACATGTAAACTAGGAGTCACGTGACCATGGCTTTTTGTTCTTATATGTTGTACATTTGTTTTTCCTGAAAATGATGTGAATGAGGTCTAAACATGTAGAGCATCTTTTATGACCACTGATCACTTTTTAAATCAAAAAAAAATTTTAATTGTTTATAATACAACATTGATCGTTTGAGTATTTTAGTATCTTTACACAAGTTCCTTGAATTTTAACCTATTAGGTTTTAACAATATAGATCTGGTTACAGTACGCGTCAAGTGAACTTGTAGATGATTTACTTACTGATATAGGCCAAGCCCCTTTAAGCATCATTATTGAACTCTCTCACAGATGTCAGTAGAAGACTATGTGCTGAGATCAACTGTGTAGATCAACCTGGAGACATTCCCTCACTATTTGTAATTCAGTAACACTTGTAAATATCCATGTGCAAGGAGAGAACTTAGTAAAAGATGGTTTGTGATGTGACAACGTGACATGATCTAGGAGAAATCCTTTCCAAGACATAAATCTTTTTTGTTCTTGATTAAGTCACAGGTTCATCAATTATTGTGGCCAGTGAATTCCTGAGCTGTTTTTCCTCCTGAACTTGAATGTTGGTGCAAAGAAAGCATAGATTGATGTGGTAATTTGCTGGTTTTGAGACCAAGTGGGGCAATATCTGGGGCATCCAGGTTATCACTGTTCAGACCTTAACCTGACCTTAACCTTGGTCCTTGTCACCAATAACAAGCCAAATGACACCGAACACCAGCTGTGAGTGTCTTGCCAACAAGAAAAACAGCAAGCAGCTCCGTGATAAAATGGTGACCCATATGGAAGCATGCTATCACAACCATTATGGGTTCTAGAGGACTCATGGGTTATGTGGATCTGAATAATGAGCTGCTGACAGCCACCCAGGAGCAAGGACTACACATTTGTCAAGATACCAAACAATACCCATGCTGGGAATTGCCGGACTCAGCAGTGAGCCTTATATTGAATTTGGGCAGACCAATGTTTGATTATATCAAACATTTGGAAAAAGAGCAAGATGCTGGTAGTACTTTTCTGGTTGCAAAAGAATGGTAAGACCAAAAATGCCAATTGAGAAACAGTGTGACTACTCCAATGATTGGTCAAACTGCCAACATCAACTTTTCGACCTTGGCTAACTGTCCAGTGGTTAAGATGGTCACTATGAAAGTGGTACATACTAGTTGTGATTATTTTAAAGTTGATTAAAAGCTATGCAGCAGAGTTCCATCGAGAGATGTATATGGGACATCGTGTGATAGCTACTTGATTATCATAAAGTTAAGATAGCTAATTCAACGTTTGAATCTTCGACAGTTTACATAACTTTCAACGAATACTACAAATTAGAAAATATTTGAAAGTTGTAAGGGCATTATGACCTTTACTTTCCCAGTTATTGAGAGATTGATGGTTGCGAGATGTATTTAGCATCTCGCAGTAATTGCTTGCACTACCTAACCAAGTACTTCTGGAATTTCTGTGCAGCAGACCATGTGATACTCACTAAATATATAGCTAGTGCAGTGAAGTATTAGATATGATTTAGAACATTTATAGTTATCAGAACTTGCAAAGAACACTAAGAGTTCTAATACACTGAAGACTGAAATGACTGTGATCCTTGCTGTCTAATCACTCGGGTGGAATATTGGGATAAGCATCAGAAAACTGTTTTATTTATTATTATTTTTACTTATTTATTTTGACCAGTTTCTCTCTTGTTTATACAAGTATAAAATACATTGTTCTACATCACTGGTATCTCTGAATTTATGGACCCTATATTTGTACATTTAAAACATGAAAAATAGTCATCTTTATTTTTACAGTTTAATTACCTTTATTTTTGTGTGCTTAAAATGTTATAGAACATCACCCTTCACCTTTAGTAACTCATGGTGTTTAAATAATTAATTTATATAAATTTACAGGGAAAAAATACAAGACTTTACCCTTCATCTTCAATAAACTGAAATAGATACCAGTATTTTTACTGTGGAAACCAATGACAGTAAACTTTACCCTTCAACTTTCACAACCCGATCTCTACTTTCATCTTCAACAAGAACTTCATCTCCTGTCACAATTATCACCGCATGAAAAATAAAAATATGGTATTCACTTTCATATGTAAATCCCTTTAGATATTGTTGAACTCTCATGGAGGACTGTGTTTAAAAATATCTGTAGAGAGTTGACCCCACATTGACCCCATATTTATTTGTGGTATGACATCATGAAATGACCAGTGAGATACTGATATTAGGTTTACCATTTTGTTGACAACTCTCATACAGATTTTTCTTCATCTGATTTAGAGTTCTCAACCACTTTGTTTTTTAAATAAATATTACATGGAACTTTGCACTGTTTAGCATCTGTAACATAAATCAATTCAGCTGAAAACACCACATTTTGTTTTTAGTTAAATGTTTTTTCTTAATTCAAACTCTTTATTGAATCATTTATTTACTTACAGAAACTGGCATGACACCAAAAACATATCGACGAATAACACTAGATAATATCATGAAGATAAGCAATAAGATCTAAGCAAGTTAAGACTTGTAACATTTACAAACTTGGTAGTTTAGATTTGTAAAGTATCTACCCTGAAAACACAGTAAAAGTTTGAATTTTGATGGATCTCTATTTTTCATTATTACTTTAAAAAAAAAATTATAATTTTAACACTTTAAAATATTCTTCATTTCATACTAGTCAGTTTCCTTCTAGTGGTCAAAATTGCTATTAATTTGAATAGTTTGTCTTTTCCTTATTAACATTCTGTAGGCTTCAGGATATAAGTCACATTAAGATAATTATAAATTCAATTAATCTGTTAAAAAAATAAACTGCTATGTAAATTACTAAACAATACAAGTTATCAGGCATTTCAGGTAGCTTGGCAACCATCGAGGAAAGATAAATCCTGGAGGTACATATTAAAAGGAATCTTTTTTCTTCTTTTATATAATAAGGTTTCAAAAGATAATCTATACTTATAGTTTTTATTTTCAATTGACTATTTTCTGAGAATTGTACACCGATACTCAATTTCAATATATTTTTTTGTAAGTCTGAGATTTCAAAAATCTAAACTTTTGGCACTTAATTATTTGGTTCCAGCTACTTATACAAGCAACAAACACTACAAAAAGTAAAAGAACTGTATGCAATCATGTAGAATTTATTATAACATACATAAAAACAAACACTTACTCTTGAGGACACTGATACTTTGGAGAAATACATTTTTCTTTGTGCCAATTCATCCATGTTAGTTTTTCTGTTAAATGACAGGTTTATGTTAGTGTGCAAGTATTCGTACCTCAAGAACATATGAAACAAAATTTACCAAACTACACACAATAAAAATATAACATATGGACTACAAGGTATCATGCAGTTTATCAAGGATATCTCTGCACATCCACCTCCAAGAAAAAGAAGTCATTACATAGATCAACAACTCTATTGCTGTTTTAACTGGAGCATAGTATGTTTTGTTTGTAATTAAGCACAAAGCTACACAATGGGCTATCTGTGCTCTGCCCACCACGGGTAGCGAAACCCGGATTCTAGCGTTGTAAGTCCGCAGACATACCGCTGTGCCACTGGGGGCTGGAGCATAGACAGTCTTTTCTAAATCTTAAACTTGTATCATCTCATCCTATTATCTTCGTATGTTAGAGGAAAGAAAACAGAGGTTTTTATCATATCAACCCATTGAATAATCTTGTAAACAAAAGAAAATAAGTTCAAATACTGTAACATATTCCCATACGACAAGCCCCGACAAATCCCAGATACCAGGTCACCATGGCAACTGAAGATTTCATTATGCTACCTAATATTTTCTCCCATTTTATTTGTGCATAAGGCTGTGTTAAATAGAACTTGAATGTACAATGGTTCTGGACACTTGGAAGTCCAGAACTATTTTCACATTCTGCGAGTCCTAAATCAAACTTTGTTTCTAAGATTTTAATGGCAGGTTCAACACTTCACGTTTTTTCAGCACTGCAGTTACACAGAACGTTACTAATTTTGTGCAATTTTGTTTTTCTTCTTTCTCTCAATTCAACCAATCAGTGCGCATGTTTAGACTCAGACCAGACCAAAGGAAGTTAGTTTAGACAATACTATCAATTGGTTGTTGATATCATGTGATCATTGGCATGCACTTGCTGCTGTGAAAGTACACTGGTGTCTTGATTATCTGCACTGGTCCGGGGAAAGCAAAATATCGTAGATAAAAAAAACAGCAGATAATCGAGACACAAGTGTATCTCGCTAGTTAGCCCATTGTTTCATCTAAGTAAAATTTTTCATATATTTAAATTTCTTGTTTTAAATTATACTCTTGTTACTGCTGTTTAATCACATTATCATGAAAAACTATAAAAGTCGTCATAATCATAAAAGCCAAGTGTCGGTTGGTCACACTAGTATTTCTCCAAATGTTGCGAGTTATACGAGTCCAATTCCACTTTTCCTCTTTTGATTTCCCATTTTAGTTGAATTTAATCCCTAACACGTGGATAAAAAGCTCCTAAATTTCAGAACCTTTTCTGCTATAGACACAGAAGTGCATTTGCACCCTATTAACGCCTGTGAAAAATAAAGTAAAAAATTCGCGAAAATTTTTGCTTGGGAATTATTGCAAAAAAGCCTTTGTTAAAACAGACTGAAGATACCAATTACCTGTAGGGAAGAGGACAAAACAACTTAAACATGGGATACAAATTACAATCACCCAAATCCATTACTTATAATTAAATATAATTTGGGAAGTATTTGTTCACATCTCCAACTGATTTAAGTCATTCTCTAACACCACAGTATCCTCACTTCCCACAAGTTTAATGTTATCAGCTAACTTTACTGATGTACTAATTATCTCTATTAATATCATTAATGTAAAGAACAAAGCACAACTAGCAATAAGAAAAACAAAGTGAGACTGTTCCAAACACCTTGACCTTCAGGCCTAGCAGAAAAATCCTAAAATTTGATAAACTATACTACTAGTCAGAGTAATGCTTGCAAAAAATATATCTCTCTCTTTAGGTGTGTGGGGGTGATAATTTAGTCAAATGGATAAAGTGGTTGGATAGAAGAAAACAGAGGGTTGTTATAAATGGAGTTCAGTCAGACTGGATTAGTGTCACAAATGGGGTATCTCAGGGCTCAGTCTTAGGTCATTCGTTTTTTTTTTATTTACATCAATGACATAGATAAGGGAATAGTCTATAAATTACTTACATTTGCAGATGATAGTAACGTATTTGGTGTTTCCAGCTGTGAAGAAGATGCTGCTGATTTACATTTAGTGAGTTGGGTAAATAAATGGTGGATGGGTTTTAATTATAATAAATGCAAGATAATGCATGTGGGTTATCATAATTTGAATTATAAGTATAATTTGGATGGGAATAACCTTAACAGTATCATGAAAGAAAGGGATCTTGGTGTAATGGTTGATAAGTCTCTCAAGACATCCAAGTAGTGTTGTTGTTGCTAGTTTTAGGATAAATGGGATTTGGGGGTTATATTTACAGAAATATTGAATACAAGTCTAAAGAAGTTATAATTTCACTGTATAGGTCACTGGTTAGGCCACATTTGTAGTATTGTGTTCAGCCTTGGGCTCCTTACCTTAGGAAGGACATTGAATTGTTGGAAAGGGTTCAAAGAAGGGTTACTAGAATGGTTCCTGAGATGGAGGCGTTGTCATACGAGGAATGATTAAGATCTCTGAAATTGTTTTCTCTGGAAAAAAGAAGAGTTAGAGGGGGATCTGATTGAATTGTTTAAGATTGTAAATGGAATTGATTGTGTTGATGCATAATCTTTTTTCATATTTAACGGTGAGAATAGTAGGACTAAGGGACATAAATATAAACTTTGGCAAGGTAAGAGTCATCTTCAGCTAAGAAAGTTTTATTTTTGTAACAGGTGATTGGCCTTTGGAATGAGTTACCTTCAGATGTTGTGGAGGGAAGTAAAATTTTAGTGAGTTTATAAGAAAGATTAATAAGTATATGAATGTTAAGGGCTGGTTTTAAGATTTTGTTTTATTTGTTTATTTGAGTTTAGTTTAGAGGATGGGACATCTGAAATGAACCAACATGTCATTTGTCCCAAAACATTATGTTATCTTATGTAATTTCCTTTTTCATAAGGGTTGGGAATTTTGATAACATTCTCCCTTTGCAAAAGTTTGAAATTAGAGTTGTGATTTCCTGAAAAATAAACAATGAGTTTACTCAGGTTCAGTTAAGGATGGGTAACATAGGCAGCTCCCTTGAGAAAAACTTTGTTGGGAATGCCAAATATCTGGGGGTTCCTTTGATACAATGTGAGTATGGATGCAGCTTTAATTTTCTATTGGGGTGCCATTTAAGCTATTGCTGGCTCTGGGTTTAATGAATTCATAAAGTTTACTGGTGACATCAAAGCAGTGCACTGTTGCTAGTAGCAAAGCTACGACTAACAGAGGTAATTTTCTATATACAAATCACTAGTTAGGCCTCAGTTGGTATACTGTGTACAATTTTAATTTCCTTAGTTATTATCTAAGAAAGGATATGGATGAAGGCTACTAGGATGATCCCTGATATAAAATGGTTATGTTGTAAGGGGAAGTTAAAATATTTTAACTTATTTTATTTTGAGAAAAGATGAGTAAAAAGTGATCTTACTGAAATTTACAAGATTATTTGGGGGATCAACAGGACTAAAACCTACAATAGGACAAGAGGACACAAACTATAATTCTGAAAAGACAAGCTAGGCTCTGACATAGACAGTTTTATTTTCCTGACAGCATGATTGGCTTATGGAATGAGTTGCCATCAGCAATAATAGAAGCCAGCTCTTTATAACAGTGTAAGAGAAGAATTAATGGTATCCTGAAAAATAAATGGTGGGATTAATTTTTTTACTTTTTCACGGACAGCCTTAAAGAATGAAATGTCTCTTGTTGTTTGTATCTCATTCTCAAAAAACGTCCAGTTTGACTGCACTCTATTAACAAAAATATTTTGCTCTCTTTTAACCAGTCACTATGGGCATCACAGGCTCGTGAAGAGATTCAGGTCACTAAGGAATATAACCAGGTCATGGGCCTTGTGGGCCAGTGTTTAGCAACACCACTGCTAGCCACCCTTTAATCCTATTAACTAGCCTTTACCAACCCTTACTGATGTGATTTTCTTATTTAGTCTATTGTGTTGTACTTTATCAAAAGCTCTTTGAAAATCTAAGTACCTCAAGTACACATATTTTCCATCGCTCAAGTAGTAAGCAACATCCTCAAAAATGGGATAACACTAACACTTCAGAATATAAGATTTTACTTTAGTGAATCCATACTGTGTTTTTACGAAACATATTTCACTAAATGATTTTGTAAACCCTTTATTTTTTTTATCAGATTCTAGAATTTTTCCCACTAGAGAAGTCATACTAACTGGCCTATAATTTCCAGGCAACTGTTATTAAAACCTTTTAGTTTTAGGCACAAGAGCGATATGAGAAGCTCTAATACAACTAAAAGTTTAATATTCAGACACCTGTCCACTGTATTGTATCAATTAATTTGTTTATAGTTTACACACAATACAAGCTTTACTGTGTTCAATATGTCATATTACAAGCAACTTTTTCATTTTTCCGATCATAATTCATGTTTTTAATATATTTATAAATCAATAATAATTGCTGAATGTAATAATTCATCAAATAGATTTTATACGGGTTATATATCTAAGGAGTATATACCAAAAGTATTTGAAATTGAATACTAAGAACAAATATATATAAATTACCAGAATAGGGTAAGTCAGTATTTTTATCTTTGAGACTTTTCTTTTTTCCAACTTCAACACCTCGAAAATACCCGCCAACAAAAAGAGCAACAGCTACTAGCACCACCTGTAAAATGCATATTATCTTTAATATATTAAATAGATATCATACTTTAATATCCAAGATGTGAGGAACCAATCTTGCCTTATTTGTATCTTTCACTTTCAGGTGCAGGCGTCTGGTGGAAAATAATAAACCATTACATTACATATCACTTTACAAATCAATAACTTACTAGTAAAATTACATGATGATAACTTACCCATTAGATTTCGTGCTATCTCTGTCACTTCTGAGGTCCAAGCAAGTACATGTCAAACGATGACGTAACAAGTCCATAGTAAGTGTGTTATAAACAGGAGTGATAGTTTAACGATTTTCCGCCTTCTCTAGCTCGGACTGTGGTAATCCAAACTATCAAATATCTTCAGCTGATGTGCTCTACTGGACTCTTACTTCACATAGCAAATTTTAAAGTAAACTATTGCGAAATACCCGAGATATAACATCTCCAATTTTAATTGAGTTTCTTCTATTTCGTTCTTTCTTTTTCGCATCAAAAGTAAGGAAACTTTATTTGATGGAAATTCATACTTAACTATTATAGATTTTTTTTAACTTGATACACTGATAGATCTTTAAAACTTACAATTAGGAATCTCATTTGGTGTAAATATAAGTCAAGTGCAAAGTAATTCAACAAAAACCGTTCAAATTTAACTAAACTTTTTCAGCACGCTAAAGCAAAAATTATTGTGACTTACCGGTTTATTTTTACTACAGCTTCACCTTAGAGTAGCAGTGGACCTTTTTAGTTTTTGGCATTCGAATTAATATTGATTTAGAGCAACAAAACTATAACGTGAATAGACGTGCATATACATAAGTATTGATTAGGCCAAAAGAACTAGTTTAGCAGTTTGTAGCTCAAGTTTTCAAAAGAATCATACAGGTGGACAGTTATTATTCATTGCCAACTTTTCATCACAAATTTACTAAATTTTATGAAATTCTCCTAATTAAACAGCGTTTATTGTCACGTAATATTTGCTTAAGTAATTAGCATAAATAATGATGATTCATATGGCTGTACCAATTGCATAGGGGTGATGACAAGAAATTATTAATATAGATTATATGGCATTAGTATAAAGGAAACTAATAACGCTGTTTTAGATAAGAAAACTACCACCACATATTTGAAAGAATCTGGTTGGTTCTGTAAAGTAAAGGTCTGTTCCGAAAAAATAGGGTTGCTCTCCTAAAGCTAATGATTGGCTGGATCAAGTGATATGGTCACTTCCATCTCTTTCTTGTTTGTTTCCTTTTGTCAAGTTCAGTAGCCAGCCCTACATAGATTTT